TGTATGTTTATAAGCCCTAACATTGAAAGTCAAATATTTGAAAGATTTTCTTGCTCTTCCACAGCAACCAAAAACCAAAAAAATGAACTGGTCTAGTGGTATTATCAAAAGACCCACTTTAAGAGACAAAATCCTGGAGGAATATAGAGGCAAACTGTAATGATGCCGAGATTATTTAATAGTTGCATGTATCTGCAGTGTTAAACTTGCAATTATATAAAAGGAAGGCCTGACTGGCTGTGTATCTTAGGGCAAGCATTCAACCATCATGCAACTTAGCTGCTGCCAAAATACAGAGCCAGATCTTGGCAGTCAACAAGCAGAGTATGTTCAACTGGGAGCCTGAAGTACATGAATTCTAGCCAGAAAGTCCAAAGCTGCTCATGTTCTGGTTATGTTTGAAGCTGAATAGAAGTTCGAAGTTTATATAAGAAATAATTTCTGTTTCAAACTAAATAGTGAGTTGACTCATTCCTGATTGTAAAAATAATTCACTCAGTACAATAGGAAAGAGGGTTGTTTATCATGTATCAATACAGAAATCGCATGCCACGAGACCAGACAAAATTGACTACAACACTGCAAGTAACTACAGCAATAGAAAATACCTGAACAGTACAACTGCATTCTTAGATGCGTAACACAGCAAACAAATCTTTTCATACATTATTTCTAGCAGGAATGCAGAATATGAAGACACAAAAAACTAGTTATACTAGTTATACAACCAAAACCTGTAAATAATTTGTTGCTAGTATTTTCTAACATATATACCGCTCTGTCATAAACCAACAACAGCAGGGATTCCTACTAATAACACTTATTTCAAATTCAACAAAGCCCAACATCAACGTAATGTAATATGCAATGAAATAATGTAACAACAAGTAGACACTAATATCAAATGACAATTTTGTGTGTACCTGAAAACATAGTAATGCACTTTTATTAAATACCTTCCACAGTCAAAAAGAGGACTCAAGTTATGATGCTGGCTGCCTCAAGTCACTTCACAATGTCACTTCACAGAAGAAGAGGATTCTTTGAATTTCCTCTTTTAAAGTGTAATTTTAAATAACTTTTACAAGCAACACTGGTGTATTCATAAGATTCCTCGACTGAAAAATCTACAAATTGAATTCAGAAAGGCTTAAATTGCACCAACTGGCCAGTAGCTTCCGATAAACAGTTAAAAATAGAAAGTCAGCAGCTAACACATTGACACTGGTGCAATTGTCATCCATCAATGACAAACCATGCCCTGGCTTTTCATGATCCCTTCAAGGAGTATACTACTATTATTTTTATAAAAAGCTCAGTATTGGTTGATGCTAAAACAGTAAAGAATTTAAAATAATATCAAAATGTCAAAGAAGTTCAACAATTATTTTCTCATGGGTAGATTCCTCTTTAGTGCCTCTTAAACAGTTTAACAAAAGTATTTTCCCTTTCAAATGGTTCCAAGCTGTACTTCAGATCTGCTATCACTGCTGAGATATAATAGCAACATTTCTTAGCTTGCATCTATCTCGATATACACATGCGAGTGGAAGAAATATGTGTGCATTTCAAAGTTATAGCATAATTTAAATACATGAAATTAAGTTTAATAAACAGAGTTATTTTACTCTCAGAATGTTTGTGGCTAATTAATATAATTCCTTCAGACTTGATAGAAATTTCCAAGAAGTGCTCAAGTGTGCATATTTGTAGATATAAGGGTAAAGATTTTACTGATTATGTTAGCCATCTTATATCAATCAATTCTTTAACCCATATGGAGACATAATCTGAATACTAACCAGTCCATTACGTACCAGGAGAACAATGTAGGTAGTTTTCAATGGAAAACTAACAAAATGATCCAAAACTAACCACAGGATCTGAAGAAAAGTTATTCACACAAGCTGAAGCAAATACTGACAGATATTCTTTTGGCTTTGAGTGATATCATTTACATACAGTTATTATCTAAAGCTTTATAATATTAAATAATTTATTGTAATGAAATTCAATTACAATATTTTAAACAATTCCTTAGTAAATACGTACATGATAAGATATGCAATATAAAGTTTGAACATTCATTTTTATTTCATAAACTGCATATCTATATTACATATTCTGTTTTCTGGAATAGTTTAACTGCAAATCATTCTGTGAATATATATAAAGTTGGAAAGCAAAATCTGATTAGTTCTACAGCAATGTATTTTGTTAAACAAAGCCAGGAAATGTTTTGATGTGAAAAATGTTTGAGAATTTCATGCTAACTCTGATAAACTCCACAAAAATGAAGGAAAGAAAGAAGGAAAGAAAGAAGGAAAGAAAGAAGGAAAGAAAGAAGGAAAGAAAGAAGGAAAGAAAGAAGGAAAGAAAGAAGGAAAGAAAGAAGGAAAGGAAAAGGGTTGTGTTACTCTTAATTATAAAACTCTTTGGGAATATTTTTTTCAGATTGCTCAAAACAAGCATAGATAAAAATTTTCACTTCTAAGATAGTTAAAAGGTATATGCTATTCCAAAACAATCAGTGTTCTCAAGCATATGTAATTTATTTTTGTTTTTATACGAAAGAAGTGATCTGTTCCAATTCTGTTTTCAGAACTGCTTACATTTGTATGACTATAATAAAGGGAAAAAGTTAATATATATTTTCTAATTGCAGGGTTAAAAATTAATTCATTCTAGTCAGTGGCATAGTATTTATCTGCATTTGTAACAAACTCAGGAGTCTTAAAGACGCACATAAATTTTGTGATTTTTCTCTTGTTATACATACTCACAAAATACTGAATTCTGTAGTTAACTGCATAACATTCTAAACTGTAACTCAGTGTCTGCATAATTATTTTTAGAGATACATGCATTTCTCAAGCTACTGAAGTTAGGTCTTCGATACCCAGAGCAGTACACGGAACAACTGAAACAATTCTGTTGTTCCTTGGACTAGATTCCTGCACTGATTCAGTGATTCACTACAGAATTTTAGCTGTGTAAAAACTTTGAGGCACAGAAAAAAAAATATATATATATATATACACTTCTAAATCTCTTGTCAGTTTTACTTTTAAGAAATTGCTTGATCATTAATCTGAATAGTGCTACATTGTCTTGTATCATAGAACAGCCTGGATTGAAAGGACCACCATGATCATCTAGTTTCAAACCCCCTGCTATGTGCAGGGTCGCCAACCACCAGACCAGGCTGCCCAGAGCCACATCCAGCCTGGCCTTGAATGCCTGCAGGGACGGGGCATCCACAACCTCCTTGGGCAACCTGTTCCAGTACATCACCACTCTCTGTGTGAAAAACTTCCTCCTGATATCTAATCTAAACCTCCCTTGTCTCAAATTAAGACCATTCCTCCTTAAGACCATTCCTGCTATCACTATCCACCCTCTTAAACAGTCATAGTCCCTCCTGTTTATATATTCCCTCCAAGTACTGGAAGGCCATAAGGAGGTCTCCCCAGATTCTTCTCTAGTCTTTGTAGTGTGAAAGGTCAAACATTTCTCAGGTATGGAAGCAGCTCCAAATGTTTTATTGGAAAGTAATCTGCACAAAGAAAACCGCTGCACGTTTTAAAATATCTTCTTAACATTTTTAATTTTCTAAGGTTACTTCGCCTCTGGATAAATATCAGACTGTTTTGCTGAAGTAAACAGTCAACCTAATCACCCTTTTAATATGATAGCAAAAGCATATGAAAATATCATGTTTTGCAAGCATATTATGCTAGAAGAAATAAACAAAAGCTTCTATCAAGTTCTTCAGTTCATGAATATTGAAGTCATATAGTTGTCAAAATATGAACACAGTGTACTTATCCACTGTTGGAAATTCAGTAGTAGCAATGTATTTGTGTAATAGTCTCACCAGGCAACAATCTCATGCAATCCTTTGAATTACAGAGCATTATCAGGTGTAGATCAGATGTACTTAAGTCTGGTTCTTGCCAGTTTTTTTTATTTCCTGGAAACCAATAGAGAACTGAAGTGTGGTGTGACCCTAGTAATTAAAAATACCACTGACTAAATCAAAAGGTTGCTGCTGATAGTCAAAATTGAGAGAGAAAAAATACACTGATTGTAGCAAAATTGCCATTTTAATCTTCTGACATACCAAAAGAGACTGCATCACAGTCAGTGAACATATCTACCACCTTTACTTGAGTAAAGCTTTGGGAACAGCTGGGCAGATAACAGTCTCAGCAAACACTGACATTTTATCAGATCGATATACATTTGAAGTACAAACACGATAAAATTTCATAGTTGTAATATCTTCCAGATAGACAACATCTCATAAAACCCTTTGGCTTTTATACCCATCAACCTGATCTAACCGACATCAAAACTGGTTTTCTGTATTCTAGGTGAACAGAGTTCAAAAGACCAGTAAATTCGAAAAATAGTAATGACTTAAACTGAAAGCATGATCCCAACTTGAACTCAACTAACTCATTTTCCCCTTCAGAAAAAATGTATCATACAGGACAGACAGAACAAACACCTATTGATCACTCTCTGTGGTGGCAAGAAACCAATAAAAATTAGGTCAGCCAATATGCACTTTTTCATGGAAAAATGTAATATCCAGGTATATTTTCTGAGGATATAGTTAACATATCATAGAATCAGAGTATCAAAGACACATAGCATGGCTTGGGTTATAAGAAACCTTTTAAAGATAATCTTGTCCCAACCTCCCTGCCATGGGCAGGGTTGTTACCCACTAGGTTGCTCAGGACCCCACTCAATTTGGCCTAAAATACCTTTAGGGACAGAACATCCTCAGTTTCTCTGAGCAACTTGTTCCAGTGTCTAAAATAGGGCAAAGCTGCACTTATATCAGAATATATACAAAAAGCATAAGCATAAGTAGTACGTGCCATTTCTAATCCAAAAATTCAGGATTTGTGCATAATACGAGAAAGATAATTGAGACTACAATTTATTACTAGAAGAAATAGGATACATAAAGTCACTGTGATACTTACCACTGTGAAATTCATGACCTTCAAAATCCATATTGTCATTGCTAAGTTAACAATCATGGTAACCAACAGCAGAAGTACAAAGAAGTATAAGCACCTCTTTCGCCATCCATAAATCCCTACTGGGTAAAATTGAGGATTTTCAGTCCTTGCAAGGCTGTTCTGTTGTGCTGCTAAAATATACTGCTCTCGTGTCATCTGGAAAAAAAAAAAAAAAAAAAAAAAAAAAAAA